TCACCGTAGTTTTAACTTTATGATAGGCAGTTGCGCTATTAAATTCGTTTTTTTATCAGATTGTAGTAGAAAGTTTTTCAAATAATACTAAAGTTGTTACTGGCTTTGTCTATTTTCGTAATGGTGAACAGATCCTTTAAAATTTTCACTTTCTTGCCTAAATCTTCCTTATTATATGTGCTAATAAGTACTTGTGCTTTAATTCGACTTTTCAAGTCGCTGAGCATTTCCTCTTTCCATTCCAGGTAACTCGTAGTAGGCAAGTTAGATTTGTAGCTGGAGAATACTGTGAAAGTTTATAGATGTTTTTGTGAAAACATCTATTTATAGGCTCATTATATTTTCATAATAAGTTATTTAAATTCCACTGCTATTTTATTCGTCGTTTAATGTTGTCAGTTGCTTAATGTTATCAAAATGGTCGTGGATAAAGGTAATCACAAAAAAAAAAAAAATTTAAGTGGTGCCTACTGTATATTTTCCAAATCTCCCCCTTCTCACCGTTCCGAAAATGTTCTCATACAATTCTTTATTTACTGAAACTTTTAAACTGCACTAAGTTTAAGTATTTATACAATGATAAACCCCTGTAACTAAAATTATTCGTTTTGTGTATGCATCAGCAGCAAAAAAAATACACTTGTTTCTCTCTCTCTCTCTCTCTCTCTTCTTTTTTTTTTTTTATCATGAGAAGTTTTCTTCAACACATACGTATGTTTTCATTTCCTTTTTTGACCTTCATGACTTGTCATAAAACTTGCTTAAATATGTCTGTATCATAAATATCACATTAACTGACTTAAAGCTTTTGTGCAGATTTTTTCCCATAGCTTAAGATAAACTAATTTCTTTCCGTCAAGGAAATTCGCGAAAGCAAATTATGTGATTTTCAGTGAAATAATGCTCTTTCTGCCATTTAAATCAAGTATTTTACAACTTGGTTCTCATGAAACTAATGTTATTGTTTCAAACTAAAGCAGGAAATGTTATCCAAGCACAAATTAATAATAACTGTATTAAATGTTTCATTATCATTACCAAATACCGAATCACTCACTCACTTAAACCCATCTTGTTAACTGCATAAACAAAAACATTTAATAGCTATCCAAATCCTCTTGAACTTAACTCGTGTGGTGGTATATTGTTTCTCGTGAAAACAGTTTTCGTTTTTTCAAAACAGTTTAAATTACTTTCTAATTAGTAAATCTGAAGTAAAAGTTTCCCTGAGAAAAATTCGAAAGGGATTTTTAGTTTAAAGTAAAATTCAGAATTCTTGCTTTTATGAAATATTGCCCTTCACAAAGACAATGCTTCATTTTGCTTTATTTAAAATTACAATGAGGAGTCAAATATGAAAAATTAAGTGTAAAATATCGTATACATAACAAAATATTTATTCGCCGTCTTTCACACAAAGAAAAAATAAATATCTTTTACGGTCACCTAGCTTGCTAATTATTACACTAACTCACTACTTGCACCAGAGTAGAAGGAGCTACAACAGACGCTGCTTAATGTGATCGCGGTTAATGTTATCATTCGGTCATTGTTACCGATTTTCCGAAGTTCCGTCCATGCATGAAACATGCATCGCTTAATGGGATCAACTAGTCGGTTAATAGGGTCAAAGTAATATACTAGAAAGAATTTTTTTAAACTGAAATAAAATCTGCAGTAAGGGCAAAATGGATTATGAATTCAACAACTGACAGAAAAATGTCACCTAATGAGTTGTTAAGTTACTACGTAGCTTGGTTTTGATTTTGAGCAATCATTTAAGCTAGGCAAAAAAGCAACGTTAGTTTAGTGTAGGTTTATAATTAACATATCGATTTTGAGGGCGATCACACTACTTTAGCAGCAAAACAATTTCTGAGAATTTATTATTCCTTCGGTAAAAAAAATTCTGAGAAAAATGTGCGCCATATTAAGAATGATTTCTTTCCTTAATTTTAAATCTTACATTGGCATGTTCTTTTCCGATCTGATTAAGTCAACCGTAGTCAAAGAAATCTGTTTTCCACGTTTTACGTATGTCTCTTGGAATACTCATATGAACGACGTTAGAATCTACCATTCGTTTTCTGAAATAAATCCAAGCACATCATATGACAAACTTTGTGACGATTATTATGAAATCTGGGAATTATCTACAAATTCTGAGATGAGGTATGACCTCCTGTTACTAAGATTAAGGGAAAAGAATCAGTCAGATGATTCCCAAAACATTATAATCAGTTCATAAATTAACTTTTGCTTGATACTTACAGACATTCCACTAGTAATGACTTTCTTTCTAATTAAAATTCTGTGAAAGTACATATTTATGTTTTTTAGCTGCATTTATATTAAACTAGTTAAGTTTATTGTTGTTTTAAAGGATATATGTTTTCATCTTTTAATGTTACCATCCGGTTAATGTTATCAAAATAGCTGCGGCCCAAGGTGATCATATTAAGCGGCGTCTTCTGCATTTCCTGGGCTTCCAAAATGTCAGTGTTCTTATAAAACTTACAATTTTATATCAATTTAAAGTACGAGGTACATGTGGTTGAATGTGAATGTTTCTGAAAAATATATTAGATGAAATGGTTTAGTAATATTTTCACTTAGTGCAGTCACTCGAAAACACTGTGTGTCCCCTTTGCATTTAAGCGAACCGTCCGCAAGCAAAATAGAGCTACGTGGGCTGTTACTATTGTATGAAGACTTGAAAAAGAATCAAAATTGTTTTTAAATACCCCTATCATCCAGGAGTAGCAATGTTCTGTATAAACAATTGTGCAAATAGAAATAGTCTCAATTACCTAATTTAAGACTAAAAAATCTGCGTGTGGCAAGTCTAGTCCAGCCTAATGAGTAATAAGATTTTTGGTCCTTTGTTTTAGGTTTAAACTAATATCAACTTCAATCTATACTTAGATATACTACAGATCTTTTCATTCTCTCAAATGGAGCAAAGGAAATGTAAGATACCGTTCTTCAACAGGATGTAGCACCGCCCCACTGTAGCGTTTGACAGTTCAGTTGAACTATTTCTAGGAAAAAGAATTGCCAGAAATGGACCTATCAAATGGCCTATCAAATGGGAAAAAAAAAAGTTCTGAAAGTACCCTTCTAGATTTCATTCTTTGGAGAATTAAGGAACTGAATATTCTTATGACGTCTGGTGCCCTGTTAATTTTACATGTATTGAAACTTATTAACTTTATTTGCGAGCAATTATCAAAAATACTTTCAATTCATTTCATACAATATATAAGGCATTCACAAATAATCTTCACCGCCTACTTTATCCTGTTGTAAATAGGTTTCTGCTCAAACGCTATTGGGAGACATGAGATTTACTTTATAGCATTTTAGACTTTGTTCATAAACATTTAAATTTTGGTTCTGCTATTGAATTTATGTTTTTATTCGGAATTTTATTTCTATCTTATCAAAGACAAGCTTCAAAAGGCTTTGCTGTATACTGGAATGTTTTTTAAAAGGGGGTTCGCTTTTGCAAATATTGCGAAATTTTAGTAATAGTGCAACTTAAAATTCAAAGACCAGCAATCAGCTTTCATGTTTTCTTAAATTTGCCGTAATAGTGTGGAAGGTTTGACTACAAAACCTTTTTCTTCACCTGCAGTAGTCAACTTTGAACTAATAATTTCTGACTAAAGGACTCTTGAGCGGCAGTGCAATATCCCTATCGTTTTCAGGAGTCACTTTTCGATCAGTAAAAAATATCTTTACAGAAGAAAACGACAAGCAATGTGTTCGTCACTTAGCAGTTGATGTTCGTTACAGAAGTTGATGATGACAATCTCAATATTGTATACCTAGCTTCGTAATAGATTGAATGCACAAATCTGATAAAAAGTGAATAAAATTTATTCTTAGCACAGGAAATATAACAAAACGCTAGATTTTTCCGTCAAAGATATTCGTACAATATAACAATATCACAAAATATCCTGCAGTAGTTATATTTTAAACTACTAAAACGTTAAATAGAACGCAATCCAAAGGGCAAAGAAAGGTAATCCGATCTCACCGCGAATACGCTACAATCAACAACAACTAAGATTAATAATTCTATTTCAGATTTTATATTTTATATATATATATATTTGTATATGATATAGTGTTTTACTTAGACTGCCAGAATATGAGTAAGAGAAAATACGTAGATAGGGTGATAATGAAGATGTGTGAAGGCGTGACTAGAGGAAGATTTCTTCAAGGCGAACTATGTATAAAATTCAAAGGAAGCAAGAAATGCATATTGCAGTATTTTAATATTTATTACAATGTCCTTAAAAACGTATTATTGGAGTATTTTGCTTTTGAACATAAATGATATAAATAGAAAAGTATCAAAACTTACTTCCTGTCAGAATATTTTGGGGGCTTTAAACTAATGTCTCAGTTTTGAATGCAGTGCCTTTAGCTGGAATATAAGTAAGAAATAATACTTATAATGTCATATATTTTCTATCCTTTCGTTAGAGAATTTATGTTTACCTTTCTGCCTGTACCTTAATATAAATGTAAGATAACAAACAACTAAGATTTTAATTTTGTCTGACAGTGTTTTTTAGGATTTTATGCTGATTTGCGTTTCAGCAAAGTTCGATAAATAAAATTCTGAATGCTCGCATATACTCTTTACTGTAATCATCATAACTATGCAGTAATAAATATTTCTCAAGGAAAAACAATCGCTTTCGAATTTTTTGGTTGACACGATATAAGTATACGCGATTAAAATTTCTCATTTAAAATTATACTGATTTCCTTTTTTGAGGTGTTTGTACATTCCATATAATACGTAAACTAATTTACTATATATTTCCATATCATACGTATACTAATACTGTAAAAAACTGAAAGTTTGAAAGATAAACCTGAGTTTGCTTTCCTTTATTTTAATACTCGATTCATTGTAATGAAAATAGTCTTCCTGACTGGGTGTTAATAATCATCTAAAATGAATTGAGAATACTTACTCCATGCAGTTCTTTGTCTTCAGTTTTGGATGACCAGAAAATTCACAGCTTACAATCATGTCGTTAATTTGATGTCCGAGTTGATCCTTTTTGCCCCGTTTCATGAATTCGAAAGTTAAGTTAAATATTTCCTCTTCTGAAAGCTGAAAAAAGAAATACACTTTCTTTAGAGCTCCCCATATCATAGACCTTTTTACTATAATAGCTACATTAATTATTTAGCTTATGATTACAAAATTTGGTGCTGAAAATATATATTTAAAAGCATCAAGAAATACTCCTATAATAAACATATTGGGTGATTCCTCAAAGAAAGGGATGTGTTTCGAAAAGTGTCTTCCGACTAGACGTCATATTCTGAAGTATTAAGACCAAACATTTTTTTCATGTCACTTCAGGTAATAAATCATAATCATAATTCCTATAATAATAAACATGCTAATCCGGTAGTAATCATAACTTCGATAATCCGATAAATATTAATCATAAAACAAACGGACATTACTCCCAAAGGGGTGTTTTTTTAACGTTTTGTGTGTTACCTTTATTTATTAAATATCATGTTCTTTGCCTTAAACCATAAAATTCAATACAACAACCATATTGCAAAATAATTTTAAAATGAGCACATCTATAGAATTTCAAATATACAGTCTCGCGCGTTGGAGATAATTTTTTCCCCCGTACAGTGTTGCCATTGCTCGCTTTTAAATCGTTGAGTTTGTTAATCAAAATTTCGTTAAAGTGTTGTAAAATATGAAACTGTTAATAAAACAAATTTCAAATTCTAAATTCGGGCTTCCAGATGTCCATATTTAGATTTAGACGTTATTCAAAATTTTATGGCTCTATGTACCGTTGTTTTATCACAATGCGAGAAACATAGTATATACATTTATGCAGATTCTTCATTGTTACCCAGGGCTCTAATATTTGATGGCAATAATTTGAAAAGTGAACCGATATTTATAGTGAACCAACGCAAAATGCCAAAACGAAAGTAATAGCCCGTCTGGGCTAACGTCCTTCGGGCTAATAATAAGTAATAATCGCCGATAAATCATAACAAATAACAAATAATAATGATCCAATAATATTTCGATAATAATCATAACTCCGATAATCCGGTAAATCATTATATTAATCAGATAGTAATCATAATGCCAATCCTTTCTGGTAATTATAGTAATCATTAAGCGTAGACAGATATAGAGAATATTAGGTATTTTATTTTGGAGCAGGAGACTTTAAAAATGTCAGCACCCTTGTCGTGACTCGAAAATCAGAATCTTCCGATGCTAACCGGACGTGCTTTCTAATTGCATTACGAAATTAAGCGATGAAGAGCCAAGGAAGAATTTACAGTCTCCCCGCTTAAAGAGTAACCGAGAAAGAGAGTGTCCAGTTGCTGTGTGTTGGTGGTAATGAATTATCGTCTATCACCGTTTAGTTCGAGCGCCACTCGTAGAGATCGTTTGTTACTTTATTTTGGATCAGGAGACGTGACTCGAACTCCGGAACTTCCGATAGTAGCCAGAAATGTTTTCCAATGACACCACAGAGGCACCCGGAAATAAGGAAGAAAAACTTTACACAGTGGTCCTAGGTATTCTGTGACGAATTTTGCAATATTTAAATCTGCGTAACTGCTCAAACAGCTCTTTTTATTGAGAAGATTTACTTCTGAAAGTAACATAGCAAAATTCTGACTCGAAATGACTAGAACTGAAATTTTCTCTCGAATTCACTAGAGATCTCTGGAATTAGTGTCTAAGTAGCATGAGGCCCCCGAAGGCTCACAAATACATTTCGGTTAAGTGCTTTCTTGCAAGTACGGGGGAGCACAGATTTCAAGATTTTAATTATTTGAAGTTCGAATTTATTTTATTTTCGTTACCATTAAAACCTAATGTAAAAACGCGACAAAAAACTATAAATTGAGCTAATTAATTTATAATGTGATATAGATATGTGTGCACAGATTTGAAGATATATATCTAATTAAATTTTATTCGGGCTTATAAAAAAATAAGTAGTGTCAGTTACGAATTTATGCCCTAAGAATAATCGCTTTTGTTGGGAAACACTATTATACGTGAACAACTTTTCTTGAAAGTGAAAAGTGACAAGAAAAGAACCCGCTTGACGGCTTGACAGATGGGCATCTGCAAGCGATGCCCATCTGTCAACAATCTGTGATGAAGATAATGTCTAGTAATTTTCTTCCGTGCACAGACATTATGCAAAATTTTATATTTACATTCAAATTTATAATTATTTACATAGAAACATATGTATTTTAATTTACATGTCGAAGAAAAATTTAATAAATACGAGAAATAGTGTATGCTGGCATTATTTTATTCTCATGCCGCCCAACCGGTATAGTGGTTAAAGTCACTGACAGCCGTGCCGAAGGGCCTGGGTTTGAATCCAGGAGAAGACATGGATGTTTGTAAATGTATAGTGATGGTGCGGCATGGCGGCGCTTTAAATATGCGGCGAGCCGAAAGTCCTCTCGTGTAATTTAGTGGAAGGGAAAAGAGATGGGAGACCCTCGGACCCGTCCCTCGCCCCGCGATGCTGTCCATCGAAATTGGGGCGGAACTGAGCCAAATCACACTATCACCTGTTAGGTATTCAAGGCTGTTGCCAACGACAGGCTCAATCTAGAGCTCCTTGCCAGGAGGAATCTTGCGCCCAATGCCACGATTCTTCGTGAGCTTGGGCTGACTACGTCAGACAAGTGAGCGTAAGCAACAACAACATCAACTCAAATTTTCTCGCAAAACATAGAAAGTTTGCGTACTCTATTTTATTTTTAATTTAAATTAAAATAAGTTGTTTAATGATTAATTAAATATATCAGAAGTATTTCAAACAATCAGCAAAAATGTTTTGCAATTACAAAAATGTTAGATTTTAAATAGAAAATATAAATTTGAAATTTTTCTTTGCGATATTATTTTTATTTTTTATGTATGTTTTGATAAATATTTAGAAAACGAAACTAAGTTTTACTTCCTTGTACGAAGTAAAGGAAGTTTTGTAACAGTGAACAATTTCGAGGATCATATTTCAGTGAAAATATCCATTTGACCCCTCTCGAATCCATTTGAACGATGCTTTTACGTGACATCTTTATGTGCAGACAGAATAAAGGACTCTTTCCTAAAACGGATTAAAAAATCTGATGTGTACACCACATGACTTCCTTGTACGGAATATTAAATTATACGCATTTTTTCTTGCATTTCATTTTAACTTATTGGATTGAATTAAATCTATTTCGCCGATAGCGCCTAAACCACAATAGAATAAATGCACACTTTAAAATTCACTCTAGTATTTGTTTGCCATAGCCACACTCTGGCGCTAGGTTTACTTAATAGCGTTGCATCTCATTCATATTTATAACTCAGAAAGCACAAAAATTATATCATTTAAGGGTAGAATTAGCTAATCGCTTGCCACATGTTCCTATTCAAATACTATATTAAATCTAGAAACGATGTATAAAAGAAATTAAGCAAAAAAAAAAAAAAAAAAAAAAGGAACAGTATTTCACAGACGATTCAGTATTTCTCATTCAATTAATTCAGTTCTCACTTCGGCGACAAGGCAAAAAAATGCATAACTCAAAATATATATTAAAATTACCGAAGTAAATCTTAAACACTGATTTCCTCGAATAAATTCCAGCAAAAGGATTAAGCATGATTTAATCCCCCCGCAATAGTAAATGAAGGCGTTATCTTTGTTGTTGCGAGGCTACGTTTCTCTAGATTGGCAACAAATCCACTAGTCTGCTGTTCCAAATGTAAATAAACAATGGCCGCCATTAAGAAGATGCTTAGGCTTAGCGGCATTTAAGCAACTTTAAAATTGTTGATAATTCTAAAAATATTGCATAGAGATTTACTAAAGGCATAAAAACCTTAACCGGAAGATAAACATAAGAACAACATAATTCAATCATTTTTAAAGCAAAAAATGTACAATATACAAATATATAATGTACGTTCCGTTGTTTAAATATAGTGGACTGTAAATTGACTTGATATTACTTCAGTATAGAACCCAAAAAACCTCAGACTCATAACGTTGACCGAAACTTCTTTATTGACTTTCAAAGAGTAAGTTAGTTGAGGAACGGCGAAGACTACACAAACTCCGACTTCAGTGGCGGCTTACCAAACACAAACTCAGAAGAACCTTTGCTTAGTTGAAACTCCAGTAATTCACAGCAACCTCGAAGCTCTAACCGCGAGCTTTAAAAACCTAACAAATTTGCGTCTGCGCCGCTCCTCGGTACAAAGAAAGAAATACAATTTGCATAACATCGAACATACCCCCAGCCTTGAAGTCCCAAGGGGGTTCAAACAATAAATTTAAACTGTTGAACTGCATAAACCTGAAAAATAAAAATTAAAGTCTCTAAATCAAGAATTAAATGGCAAAGCGCATAGCTTTGCTATAGGTCGTTTTATTTCACCATTAGGACGTGCGTAAACTCACCACTCGAACTTTCTCATCCAAGTCCAGGATACACATTTAATTAATTCTACCTAATTTCCAACGTAGCGGAGGTAGATTTTCGTTCTTAATAAGAACCATATCACCAATCCTTCAGGTCTTGTTGTAACCTTGCACCACTTGGGTCTCTGCTGCAATCCTAGATAAATACTCACTGCTCCATCGATTCCAGAAATGTTGAAATAACCTTTGCACGTTCCTCCCCTAACGGTCACTGCAGCTCATGGTTTCTCGAATTTGGTTAGATTCTGGACTAGCGCTTAAAGCCGCTCCGGTTAAAAAGTGTCCTGGTGTTATCGCCTCCAAGTCGCTACAATCACTTGAAGCTGGTACTAAAGGCCTAGAATTAAGACAGAATTCAATTTTTGTTATTAATGTCAAAAATTCCTCGTATGTTAAAATAAGTGTTCCTAAACATCTTTTTAAGTGATGTTTCATAGACTTGATACCCGCTTACCAAAGCCCTCCAAAATGAGGGGCAGAGGGAGGATTAAACAACCATTTAATATTTTCTGAAGAAATATAACCCTGTAGCTGTTCATCACGTTGAACAATAGAAAAGGCTTTCCCTAATTCTTTATTAGCTCCTATAAAATTCGTTGCAGAA